ATGCTAAGACAAAACTAAGGCTGGGCAGAGAATGGATGAAAATGCTGGCTGGATTTATTCTGTGAATTGATTCTGCTTCTATGACTGAACAATATTCAAAATGTTATGATCTGTGCTTATTTTTATGCTTTACATTCTGTTTTTATGCTTATACTGTTTTGTACAACAGTGAGCCTTTGGTGTCCTCTGAGGTTTGGTTCCAAAATCCCTTTGGATACCAAAATCCATGGATGCTCAGATCCAATTATTTGCCATTTCTCCCTTATGTAAAATGGCAAAATGAAGCTTTGCTTTTTGAAATGGTTTTGCTTGGAATATTTTCAAAGTGAGGATGGTGAAATCTGTGCAAAAAGAATCCACAGATCTGGAGGGCCAACAGTATGTGTGTTCAGAAAAATTGATCACCTCACAACCTGCCATAGATGTAGGCAAAATGCCAGGAGAGGGTGCTTCTGGAATATGGCCATACAGTCCAAAAAGAATGCTTCTGGAATATGTCCTGAGAGAATGCTGAATGCCATACAGTCCAGAGAGAATGCTTCTGAAATATGGCCATAGCAACCCAGTTATGTTTAAATGTTTTTAAACTTTTAAAATAGTAATTTTTTAGCAGAAGGTTTGCCTTGAATTTCGTAAGCAGCCTTGGGGCCCTTGGAAAAGGAAGTAAAAGTAAAGGTAAAGGTTTCCCCTGATATTGAGTCTAGTCCTGTCCAGTTCTGGGTGGTGGTGCTCATCGCCATTTCTAAGCCAAAGAGCTGGCGTTGTCCATAGATACCTGTCATGTGGCTAACATGACCGTTACCTTCCCACCAAAGCAGTACCCATCGATCTACTCACATTTGCATGTTTTTGAACTGATAGGTTGGCAGAAGCTGCGCCTAACAGCAGGAGCTCACCCCACTCTCTGGATTCAAACTGCCAACCTTTCGGTCAGCAAGTTCAGCAGCTCAGCGGTTTAACCCATTGTGCCACCAGGAAAAGATAAGGTGTGTATAAATTGAATAAATAAATTAAACAATGTGTGTGTATATATATGTATTTGTTTTAAAGGAAGATGGGATAGATTTCCTGAATATCTGAAGGGCTCCTATGTAGATTTCTTTTTTATTGCTCCAGAATTGAGGACTGAAATTCATGTGTTGAAACTAATGAGTTTGAGTTACAACTAACTTAAGCTTGTTGGTTAAAGTGAAAGTACTCTATGAACAACTTACAACAGAATAGGGACCCATTTTAAAAATATGTTTTCTGTGATCTCATATAATGTTTATATATAATGTTAAAATTAGGATATGTACCTCTGTGAGAAGCAAGTAGTACTTTCGTTATCCAAATTCCCCCGTGACAAAGTCTTCAGAACAGACAACATTTTGGAAGTCTCTGTGTGCCTATGTGTCTGCCTTTCATGAGGAGGAAACCCTGTGGCTGTAAGCCAGACAGTTTGAAGGACCCCAGACTGTGACAAGTGCCACTTTCCCAAAAGTGTGAGCATGTTCTGCAGGTACATGTCTTGAATTTCCAGCTGATAATTTAAAATAACCTCTCATATTCTCTTGCTGTTGATTGTCAAGCATGTATACTGTTTTGTACAAAGTACCAGAACTATATAGTGAGAGGGAAAGCCAATGCACAGGAGAGCGTGAGATGCAATAGATGAAGATGTTTCCATACCTGGAACTTAAGCGCATAAAGAAACATTCCCTTCAGCAACTAGTAGTCGCCTGAATATTGTAAACTGGAGGCACTTTGGATAGATCCCCCCCCCCCCAAAAAAAAGCTATGCATGTAAAACTAGGAACAGGTGGGATAAAGTTGTTTTTGACACAATCCCAAGAAATCAAAACCTTTCCATGTCCCACCGGAAGAAGTAAGAAGGGTGTTTTAATCCTCAAGGCAGTTTGGCAAGGATCCCAAGCAATCCTTAGGCAGGTGTACCTCCTGTTTTCACTTCAAACTGTAGGCACTTGCATTGTGTTGGACATCACTTCAGATTTCCTGGTTGTTGGGAGTGGATTTGTGTGGTTATAAAAGATAGACTGGGCTTTAAGGGTGTAATGTCTCAAATTTTTTGAATTGGTCACAGGTTCAAATCCAGGGAGTGGCGTGAGCTTCTGCTGTCAGCCCCAGCTTCTGCCAACCTAACAGTTCAAAAACATGCAAATGTGAGTAGATCAACAGGTGCCACTTTGACGGAAAGGTAACAGTGCTTCATGCAGTCATGCCAGCCACATGACCTTGGAGGTGTCTATGGACAACGGCGGCTATTCAGCTAAAAAATGGAGATGAGCACCAACACCCAGAGTCGGGCATGACTGGACTTAATGTCAGGGGAAAATCTTTACGTTTTTAAAAGATATACTATATAGCTCAGAATTGAGTGATGACTCCTCACTGGGCTTTAAGGGTGTACTGTCTCACATTTTTTTGAATTGCATACCCTGGTTTAATTCATAAACTAGCCACCTATGTCAAAAGGTACCACTCAGATCTGCTCTAGACTATTATGATCTTGAAACAGCCAAAAAGAGTTTTGGCAGGACACATGTATGAGAATACACTGCACTATTTTGAATTAAAAACTGGGGTAGAATCAGAGAATCTTATAATCATAAGCGTCAGAAGATGCCCTTAGGGCCATCCTGTCAAACCCTATTCTGCCATGCAGGAACGCACAATCAAAACACTCCTGACAGATGGCCATGCAGTCTCTTTTTAAAAGTCTACAAAGGAGGAGACTCCACCACACTCCCAGGCAGCGTATTCCATTACCAAATAGTTATTGGAAGCCATTATTAAAAATTTTAACTACTACTTGGTGGGTCACATGGGAAAGCTCAGCCATCCCATTTGTCATCGCCGGGGCTCTTTTACAAAAGTACTGTGCATACTAAGAGCAGGCTTAATTTCAGCTTAACTTCTCTTTTGCATTAATAGATGATAGCATTCAGTGTGTATGCTGAATAGCCTTTTAATCCGTTTCACTTTAACTGTGTTTGTTTTGTGTTGGAGTGTGCACAATGCAAATAAGTATCTTAGACTTAAGATTGCCAGACTTTTAGTAGCTTCACCACACTGTTTTTAGCCTCAAAAGAGCAAACAGGTAAAGCTTTGCATCATTATGTGTTTGGAATAATTTTGCTCTCATATCCTTCTGCTATGAGACATACAATTGACAGCAAGTTAAATCAAATTAGCAACCCTAATATTTGAAAGTATTTGTTTAGTATTTATTTCTATCGTTCTCCTTAGTGAATGCCAACTTTTTTGGGGGGTGTGTGTGGGGGGTGAGGTGTCAAATTTGTTTATTCCTCTGGATTTCCTTGACTTTTATTTCTTTTCATGATGAGCATATACTGAGGCTAAATTTATACAATTTTAGTTTTCGTTAAACGGTGGATTTATTTTGAGTTTGGCTTATTTTGGAAAAGGAAGTATGACTCAGACCTATATGCTTTTCTTGAGTAAACGGTTGCAGATGTCAAGCTAGGAGTCGTTAATTTGCAACGATGTTATTTCCACAGCCATTTAGGATGAGGAAATATACTAACACTTGCCCTGTAGTATCGTTTTGCAGCAAAACAATATGGTTACAATGAAGTACTTTTAATTTGCACTCATCTCAAAAGCAAGTCCAATTCTGTTGAAACCAATCAAACTTACAACATTTAATTTAGGCTAGGTTGCGCTCTGACAATATTTATTTGCCCATCTAATCAGCATTATGCTATCAAAGCACTGTAAAGAAATGATGCCGTAGGGAACATTTACTCTTTTTTATTGCTAGCATCTTCTGTTCTGGACAGAAAATCGTTCAATGAATTCAAATTGCAAAAAGAAGAGCTTTCACCTAAACTTTCAGAAGAACTTCTTGAATGTAAGACCTTTTGCTAATAGAGTTTGTGTTAATACTCTGTCATAATAAAGCTTTCTGGCTACTGCAAAGAAAAGAAAATGAAATAGGAGAGAGTTCTGCAGTTATTCGTGATCATTTTGCATGAACTTGCTCTTCCTTGATTTTTTTTATTAACCAGGGATGGATATATTTGAAATGTTGTCTAGAAAGAAAAATTCTTCAACTGAAATTGTATGAGAAATTAAAATGACCAAAAATCATTTCAACCTTTTTATATGCTATTCCTTCTGTCCAAAATGCCAGTGGGATGCTAGAAGACAGAATCTTCCTCAGCTTGGAAAATGATCTTTTAAGAGTAAATTATTTTAGTTGCAATTCTCAAGCCTGTACCCTAACTGAGGTAGTTACCATTACAGCTGCAATGTTAAAGTAAGTCCAATTTTCTATTTCTCAGAAGTAACTAAAACAGGCATTTCCTTCTTAAGATGCTAATACTTTGTAAGTGTGGTAGAATGAAAGCACTCGCTTTGCATCTATTTATCAAGAAAGAGCACAAACCAGAACTTGAATCCTGTGATCGTCTCCCGCCTTCTGTAACTATATAATAACTAAAAGTTAAAGTTTCCGTGCAAAAGTTAGCAGTGTTAGTCTTTGTTGTGCTAAAATAGTAATGCAATGTTATTATGTCAAATGATTAGGAAAAGGGATCAGATCGTTTGGGAGGCTAGTTACTGTCAGGATTTTCTCATTAATGCTTCTGTGTATTTCTTGAGATGAAACTGACTACAGAAAATAGGACTGCTTTTTTGTGTGTGTCAGGAGCGACTTGAGAAACTGCAAGTCACTTCTGGTGTGAGAGAATTGGCCATCTGCAAGGATGTTGCCCAGGAATGCCTGGATGTTTTGATGTTTTACTATCCTTGTGGGAGGCTTCTCTCATGCCCCTGCATGGGGAGCTGGAGCTGACAGAGGGAGCTCATTCACGCTCTCCCTGGATTCAAACCTCTGACCCGTAGTCTTCAGTCGTGCCGGCACAAGGGTTTAACAAGGGAGTGCTGAATCAGATCCACCCCTAGGCATATAATATTTTCATTAAAAAAGGCACGGCAAGTTTAAGTTTTTAGAAACCAGAAACTAGAAAAGAAGCTTGAATATATACATATTTTATTTAAGACTATCAACTGGTGTCTGGAAAGTGGATCCTTTTTATAACAAAGGTTTCAAGAGGGACATTTCCACACAATTTTGACTTGCCAGCATTGCGGTTGCTCTTGTTTTTGTGTTTGATTGTTGCATCCTTTCTATGCACACTTTCCCTTCATAGAAAAAAAAAAGAATGGCATTGCTAAATGTAAACACAGTGGTTTAGGGCATTTGTTGAGATCTTCCTTAAATAAACAGAAAAATCTGAAAACCTACAGTCTTTACACCAACAAACTCTTTAGCTGTGTCCAGCTGATGAAAGTATATTCACTATACAATCATTTTGTAGCAGGTTAAAATGGTGCAACTCATTTCCTGGCATGCCAAGCTGTGTGGCTTTAGGGTACAGAATGTGTAAGCCTGAAAAAAAATCTCTGGTGGCTGGTAGCAGATGTACTGAAGACCTGGACTGATAGGTAATATTTCTTCTGGAATTTATTGGTACTCTCCCACCAGATCCCTGGAAGCACAAAGAGGGGAAAGTTAATAACAAGGATATTATTCAGAACTTTGACAAAATTCATTTGAGATTATACAGTGCTTTTAAAATAAAACCTAGTTAATATTAGCCACGACGAACAGGCAATCTGGTCCAATCTGTGTCAGGTTTCCAGAATAGAAGGTAACACTTTCCAATGGACACAGATATGAAGCCGATCCCTAGCACATTTGGAAAAGAAAGCTGCCAGTCCCGGACATCAAACAGACTTATCCTAGACCACAAATCCCAGAGTTAATTCTGTAGGGTTACAGTTTACAAGTTTCTCTTCATAGGAACCATGTTTTAAAAGTTTTATAATATTTATATATTTTATCTGCATTATTGTTTATATATAGTATTGTTTCTATGTTGTTGAATTGTGGCATCGAATTATGCCAAATTATGTAAGCCGCCGTGAGACCCCTTCGGGGTAAGAAGACCAAGATATAAATCTATAAATACATACATTTTCTTTCCTCCCTCTCCCTTTGTGTGCATTTGTGGATATGCAAACATAAATATATAGAATGGCACAGATCATACACCTGAATGATTGCATCTATATAATTGCCCCTTTACATATTTTAATCTAAAAATATGGGTACATTCTAATCAAAGTTCGGTGTTACAAGGGTGGTGGTGGTTTTATATAACACCATTGATATGGTGGTCTTAGTCTTTGGACAGATGGGCCATTACCAGATCTAACTAGTCCATTGGATGTGGTTAGTTCTGTCTATGATGTTACCATCCTCTGTTACACCAGCCTCAGTGGTATTAGGCACTGGATTTGAATGGATATGTCATGTTCAAGTCGAAATAGAATATGCAACTTAGTTAGGTATTTATTTGGACATAGTGATTGTGAGGTTTGTTTCCTGATAACTGTGTGTGGATTTTGAGTCTTTGATATGTTTAATTTTAAGTGAATTGAAATGAATCTCTGTGTGAACCTGCCCAGCATTGCTTCTAAGCAAATTCTATTTGTAATAGCTATGAAGGGGTGAATGTGTAATGAATTCTGGCCTCGAATTTCAATGAAATTTATTAGCATTTGATTCAGAATAGACAAAAGAATGCACTTCTTCAAACAACAAGCCATTCAATCATGAAAACGTACCTCTGCCATCAGGCATTTAGTGAACAATAACAGGCAAGGCTGATGGGGATGATGTGAGTGAGCTTTTGGAGGGCTGTGAACTTTTAAATATATTTAATTGTGTTTTAATTTTCCATGGAACAAAATATATAACTGTTTTTTAAATGTGTTTATATTTTAATGCAGTTAGTCTGTTTTTAATTGTATTGTGCTATTAGCTGCCTCGAGGGATAAAAATGAATAAACAAATGAGGGATTTTTTTGCCAGAAGAGATGGTGATGGTTTTAACAAATTCATGAAGGATGAGTTTGACAATGGGTATTAAACATGAATTCTGTACAAAACTCCAAGATTAAAGGCAGCATCCCTCTGAATTGTATTGCTGGGAGAAAAAAGAAGGAAAGTATTGTTGTTTTAGCCTGGCTCAGGACTCTCAGAAGCATGTGGTTCATGTCCACTACCAATGGCAGCTAATGCCTCCCTTGCTACCAATTAATGTAATTTGATGCTGTTGCTTGTTGCTTATGCTTTGGTTTTATTTTTGCTGTAATATGTTGTCCGGCCTTGGCCCCATGTAAGTCGCTCCGAGTCCCCGTTGGGAAGATGGTGGCGGGATATAAATAAAGATTATTATTATTATTATTATTATTATTATTATTATTATTATTATTATTAGGATGGTAAAGCTCCCTTATTTGTATTGTCTGAGGCTTTCACAGACAGAACCACTGGAGTTTTGTGTGGTTTCTGGGCTGTATAGCCATGTTCTAGCAGTGTTTTTTCCTGACATTTCACCTGCATCTGTGGCTGGCATCTTCAGAGGTGAAATGTAAGGAGAAAATGCTGCTCGAAGACGGTCATACAGCTTGGAAATCACACAACTCTGGATTTGTTACTCTATACCAGGCATGCTCAAACTGCAGCCCTCCAGCTGTTTGGGTTTTCAAGTCCCAAAAACCCTAGCCAGCTTGTTCACTGGTCAGGAATTTTAGGAGTTGGAGGCCCAAACACCTGGAGGGCAGAAATTTGAGGATGCCTGCTCTACATTTTAAATGAGCTATCCAAAGTGCTAGATACATTTGGGGAATATGGTTCAGAACCTTGGACAGCTCTTTTAAAATCCAGAATAAGATCAAAAATAGGGAAGTGGCTTGTATGAGCCCTAGAGATATAGAAAGGGGATAGTGACAGTGAGCTTCCAGATATCACTGGATTGTAGCTTCTATCATTTCTCATGGTTGGCCATACTGGCCATGGTTACTGGAAATTCCCATCCAATAGCATCTGTGGGGCCACCAATTTGCAACCCTGTAAATACATTTTTACAATGTGGAAATCAACATCATCCCCCTACACTAGAATTTACAGCCAAAAATGGTTAACAAAAAATCTGGCACCTCTGGGTCACTTTTTGGCTAATCAGCCACTTCAAGAACTCTTGAGTAGCCATATCATCCAGGAGCTTGTTGTAATCACTGGTGAATGTGCCATCTGCATGTCTTCTGCCAACGTCTTCAGCTGCACCAGCTCCTTCCGCAAAACTTAAAGGAGAGAAACAGACAAATGACATCCTTCTAGAACAAAATAAAGCTTGCCTTTGTGCAATCTTTTATTTTTTACCAAAGTTCCCAATCCATAGAGGACTGTGTCTTATATCTCCTTAACAACCAACTTTCCACAAAATGGCTGGAAATTTTATCCCAAAAGCAATTCCTTACAAATATTTTTTTTCAAAAGGGTATCATTTGGCACAATTCATCCAAAGCGAAATCTTTGCAATCTCCTATCGATGTCAACAGGAAATACTGAACCCCATGATTATCTCACCCATTTACAGAAATTGAATTTTAAAATGCTGACTGGATTCTGTTATCTGTGTGAACTCATCCCAGGAGTGTTTGCTACACATTGTTGTTAGTGAAGTCCCAAATTCAATCAGCAGATATTAATATATCTTATATAAAGCATACACATCTTTGTAATTCATAACAAAAATTGTGAGGCTTCCCGCTGATGAACTCAGGAAACATTTTGACTGTCAATTGGAGTAAACAGGTTACATACTGGATTTATGGTTGGGTAAATACACCAATATGCTTCCCTAACACAAATAAGGTAAAGGTTTCTCTTGACATTAAGTCTAGTTGTGTCCGACTCTGAGGGGTGCTGCTCATCTCCATTTCTAAGCTAAAGAGCCAGCATTGTCCATAGGCACCTCCAAGGTTATGTGGCCAGCATGACTGCATAGAGTGGCATTACCTTCCCATCCAAGCAGTACCTATTGATCTACTCACATTTGCATGTTTTTGAACTGCTAGGTTGGCAGAAGCTGGGCCTAACAGCGGAAGCTCACCCCACTCTCAGGATTCGAATCACCAGCCTTTCGGTCAGCAACTTCAACAACTCAGCGGTTTAACCCACTGCACCATCAGGGGGCTCATCAACATCAACAGAGCTTTGTTAATGAACTTTTCAAAATATCAGTATTCCCGGGCTTTATTCTCAAAGAAGGATGAGGATATTTATGCTTATCATGAATAGTGCTGTATTTCTATTTTTTTCCCCCAATTGTTGCCCAAGAATACCATATTGCTGCTCAGAATGGCACAAGGCAGCTTTCTTATCTGATAAGAGGAATTAATATTTGACAAGATATCAGTATTCACTTTTCCTGAGGCAAATGTTCTGAAATCTTGTTAAGGTTAATTAAGGTCAGAAACTAAAGAGACAACATATCTCACTGAAGCCCGAATGCAATAGTTGGCAGGCAAATACACTATAAAAAAAGTATCACGCAATATCCTTCAGAGTTAAATGTACTCATAGCAAAGACCAACTGCTTCATTGAGCATTTCTTTTCACCTCTAAATTTAATACCTAAGGAAGCTTTGGGGCGGGATGGGAGAAGAGGAGGATGTAGAAATATCTTGCTGTAAGCAACATCAGATGGCACTGATAGTTTTGCTCAGAATCTACAACAGCCTGCTATCTTATTTCTCTATATCCATTTGATGATGTGCAAGCATACAAACATATGGAGAGAAATCCTGTTCCTGCTTTATGGCCGTGGGGTTCCTTTCAACAGGTACACAAATAGAAATGAAAGAGCAGTCACTTGCTGTGATCCCCATCAAACGTATGGCGTAGATTTGACTGGTAATAATAATATCAGAACAGACTGCATTTCATAGACCTGTTATGTTCTCTTGAAGCTATGGAAGCTTTCAAGGCTAGGTACACAAGACACATAGTAGCACAACGGCACCAGACTACCCATAGGCATATGAAAACAGAATGGTCTCTAGGCAGGAGTGGGTTTTGCGCAGAGAACTGGCGATGGCGAGGGTGCTTCACCCTTCCCTTTTTCACCTTCCCTCTTTTGAAGTATTCCCCCCATGGGAAAGAGGTGGGGAAATGAATTAATATTCAAACTCTCATTGCTTCTTTACTAAAGAAAAATCCCTAATGTTGTATAAACAAAAGAGACCCGGTACATGAATTTGCATGTAAAATACAACCACCCTGAAACATGTCCCTTAGAAATGTACTAACAGGGTGCAAGGAAGAATGTATGCTCTTGAATGTCTGCTTTTTGTGGGCTCCAAAAACTGATATCCACCACTCCTAAAATGTGCTTCTTTGGTCATAATAAAAAGCCATGGTATCCCTGGGCCGATATCGTCACACTCCAACCAATGCTTTAGAAATCATCTAAGGGCTAACATATAGTATTGCCTATCTAGGGTTGTATAACAGGGCATCAGTCATGTCTTGGTTGGCTGCCTTTCTACATTCCAGCACACATTGTTGACTCTCAGATCTTATTTTATTATTATTACGGCAATCATAATCAATTCTGTAGAGTGCCAGTGACATACACAGTGCTTTTTACAGCGGGCAATATTAATTTCAAGCACGAAACCAAGAGAGAAGAAGGAACAAGAAATCCTGCTCAGGAGAGCTCACAGTCTAAAGGTATCAATAAGTACATATGGGACAAGGACGGTTGATGTCTCAACTGCCACACCATGCGGGCGAACACGTAGGGGCCTTGAAGATTGTTGTGAGTGGGCTTTATTAGGAGAGGAAATGAAGCAAAAAATATGCTGTTCCAAATGTACAGTTGCTTCGAAGGATGGATCAAAGTTAGCAGTGGGTAGAACAGACCAAGGAGCAAAAAGAAGGGGAGGTTGTCAAGAGAGTGGTGAGAACAGGATGTAGGTGGTTCCTGATGGAGTACAGGTTACTGATGGAGGTGTTGGCAGCCTAAAGTTATGGGATGCTTGGAGGCAAGGGAGGGGTAAATATTCAGCGTATTGCAGAAAGGAGAGTGGGAAGGCAGGAATAAAACTTTAAAAGGGGTGGAAGGATGATGACAGTGTGGTGATGAGTTTAGCAGCAACTTCTCCTCTTGGTGAGGAAGGAAGGAGAGGCTCGAGAAGGAGGAGTTTGTACAAAGTTTAGAAATAACAGCTCGAAAAAACTAAAGGAAAAGCAAAATGCCATAAACATCAGAAGCATGCGAATAAGGACTGTGGGCAAATAGGAAACAAGAGTGAGTTGGGATAATAATCCTGGTGATCCAGGAATGTCACAGTATGTCATATGGAAGCAGGGAAGGGTGCAGAAGAAGTCAGATGGAAACTGAAAACATTGACCTTCAGAATACGAGACAAAATGACCTATTCAAATATGTAACCGCACAATGAATTTGCAAAGAGATACATTTTAATTAGCAGTTGGATCATTTCACACACCCATGAATAATATCTTCAGTTACAAAATTGTGATGTGAAATACAGAGAGGGAAGACGGGGGAATAATATTAGAGTTTCACTATGCTTTGATTGATGATTGCCCCCCAAAAGCTAAGAAATGCTTAACAATAGTAGCAACAGATGGGTTCTTACTCTCTTCTCCCTCGTCCATTCACAAGCCAAGCAATGAACTCCTTGGCAGCTTGACCTTCCAAGTAAGAGCTGATATCACTGGTATAGGTGCCATCAGCATGTCTCTCGTACTCGGCATGACGCCTGGCAAGTCCGTTGCTGAAAGAAGGACACAGTGTTTGAGGACAGATTGTCTTCTTGTATTGTCTTCTTGCTGTCACTTTTCCCCCTAGTGTCCCTCCCTCTCTCCTTCTTCATACCCTCCAAGAATCATCCAGCCAGCCTGTAGTCCAAAAGAGTTGTTTTTTCAAGCTCTGATATGGTCTAGCATGGCCAAAGAATGGGATTAGGGTGGGCCTATGCAGATTAGATATGTGTGAGAGGCTGTTGTCACCAGGGCAAGGAGCAGGTTTAGGTCCTTATCACACTAGAGCTTAAAGAGTAAGCAAGAAGTATGCATCCCATTTGAAATCCTGTGGCTGCACCCTGCAAACTTCTGGGGCTTGTAGCTTAGTGAGACCCAGGACATCTCTGAGCGAGCATTTTAAAGACCTCTTCTCTTCTATCAAGTCTATGATGTCCCTGATTCCATTAATTCAGACCACCTTTTCCCTCAGGGATCAAATCTTTGGGAAGTGGGCAGGAAAGCTTAGATGAAGGAGCCCTCACTAGCAAGTATTCTAATATGGGCTGTCATAAATGACCTGTGGTAAAGAAACCTGCCCATGATCACAGTGATAAGTATTTGGCCCTTTGTCCTTAAAAGGGGATGTTTACATGGGTATTTTTCAGATCATTATGCATGCAATAAAGGGATCCTGTGATTGATTTCCCAAGCACTGATTTGCAAATGGAGCCTTTCTGTTTAGATTCTCAGAAAGTCAATATAACGTATGAAGTGGCTTAAGAGCAATCTGATTCTTCAAGCTATCTCTGATTGCAGAAGCACCATAAGATAAGACTCTGTGTGTCACATGTTAAGGATAGCTAAAGGAAGTGCCCAAGTCCCCAATTCATGATGGTAATATTGTCATAGTACTCTCAGTACTGGTACAGATGAGTCAGTCTAGCACTGAGGCAGGCAATTGGCAGATGACTGAAGAGTCCTTCCATCCCTCAGTGTGCATCCCAATCAGATATGTTTGTTTTGCCAAATTTGTTTTACCCACAGTCATACATCACAAGGCAGAGCTGTTATGGAGCATTCAATATGACATTTGAGGAAGAATGAGTATCTGCGTACTGGTGCTCCATATTTACAGGGAAATAGCCACATGTTCTCTGATTCAGTGTGCTAAATTCCTTTGGTTGGGAACTAGCTTTGCTAAAGAACTGTATTTCCCATTATGGCCTCAATATGGTCTCCAGTCAAGTCTAAGATGTCCCCCATTCAGTTAATTCAGACCACTGTCTTAACTCAGTGATCAAACTTTTAGCTGGACTGTCTTTAGTGTGGACAACTTCGCCAAGGAGTCTTTTCACAAACACGAGACTGTAAATCTATCAATTAAGTTTTCTGTGTAGTTATGTGTATTACAAAGTACGATGCTTTTGTCTATTTGGATAATCCTGTTGCATTACAGAGCTATAGTTCCACGCATTTCCCATTTTTAAAAGTATTTACAGTGAATAACTAAATTCATGTTTACCTACCTTTCTTAGGGACCCTTGCTTTCTCCTTGTTTGTGTACTGATTCAATTACATTGTATTTAATGGGAGGGGGGTTATGTGTTGTGTGTGTGAATTGTATGAAATATAAAATACGGTACATAAAGCAATATTTTTAAGTCCTCTCTCCTGACATGAATTCTGCTAAAGGCTTCTGGTGTAAATGCAAACCGAAACTCTCAAAGTCTATTCAGGGACTACTTCACACTTAGTGTGATTGTGGATACATATACAATATTTCACATCTAAAAGTAAAGAAGGAAATGAATGCACATGGCAAATACACACATGTATTTGCCATGGCTCCCTGTTGTATTTACTTATGTCAAGGAGCTGTGACGGGCTCTTGTTCCCTGCAAGGTGCACATGGTGTGCCATATATCCATTTTATATCGTTCCACTTATCATGAATTTGCTTCCACATAATGTGTGAAGTAGCCCATATGTCTGAGAGAACATTATCCAAAATGAAGGTGTGGATGGTTCTAATGACGCATGTGCCCACAATGCCAAGAGCATGGCTAGTTGTGATACCACATATGCAACTTGCCGCAAATTTACACTTGCCAAGTATCTTGACTTCATCTGCCCACACTTGGATTCAATTGATTAGAAAATTCTAATTTAAGCCAGCGTCCTAAGATCACTTTTTGGATGGAACTTTCCTCACAGTGAATGGGCCGTGTTTCCCCAAAAAGAAACTATCGAAGGGTATGTAGCTGCAGAAGTACATCAGTTCTCCAGGGGCAAGTCCTGCATGTACAAGAATCTGCGGTACAAGGACAGTGTTCTGTGGTAGAGCACATACTTCGCATGAAGGCAGTCTTAGGTTCACTCCCCATGATCTTCAAATAAGGGGATTGGGTGGTAAGATAAGGGAAGATATATCTGACTATACTCCTGGTATAGAAGAGGCAGGACTGAACTATGTGATATGTGCCCTTAACTCCAGGGATGGATAGTGAATCCACTCTTGGTTTAACGACTGTTCCACTTGCAGTATGTTGTACAGGACCTGAACGTCTGTTGGGAATAGGAACCACAACTTAGGTGGCTCCCATACAACTTAGGGCTACTGGAGGAAGAGTAGCTGTAAAGCTGAGACTGGATTTCCTACCATCATGGCAATATGGTAGATTTTCTAGATTTGAAGGACCTGAAGATGTACAGAATGCACTGGTAACCTCAAGATTGGACTTCTGCAACACACTTTACATTGGGCTACACTTGTACCAAGTTCAGAAGCTCCAACTGGTTCAAAGTACGGTAGCCAGATTGGTTATGGGAACATTTAGGAGTCAGCATATTACACCTATCCTAAAGTCACTCCACTACATGTAAATTAGTTTCCAAAGTACAAGGTGTTGGTTTTGACCTTTAAAGCTCTACATGGATTGGGTACAAGTTACCGACAGGATAGCCTTCTCCTGTACAATCCCCCCAGAACACATATGTCTTCTGTGGGGTGGCTACTCCAAACAGCCAGAACCTGTCTGGCCACTGTCACTCAGAGGACCTTTTCATTGCCCCAAGACTGTGGAATGACCTGCCGGAAAAGCTCCGACAGCTAAATGAGCAGTCAGAATTTTAAAACCATCTAAAACCTATCTCTTCCAGCAGGCCTACCCAGCCAGTTGAAAGCATGAATTTTAAACTCATGTCCTGTATTTGGTTTCTGTCCTGTGTGACTAATGTGTATTTTATAGAAATGCTTGATATGTGTCTTTTATGGAACTGCATTTTAATAGGTATGAAATTTTTATAGTATTTGTGTGCTTTTTACTGTGCTGTGATTCACCTCGAACCATGGGGAAAGGCAGGTAAGAAATAATAATAATAATAATAATAATAATAATAATAATTATTATTATTATTATTATTATTTTAATTATTATTATAAACTTACTGGACAGCCCTGGGTTGTTTCTCCATTGCCATCAGTTCTGAAAGTACCCCACAAAGGGTGAGCTCTTCCCAGCCAGACTTTTTCCTCCTGGCAGATCATCAGGTTGTCAAACCCAGACACACATAGCAGTATTGGACACTAGTATATGTGGACCACCCCTTTTATGAATGCCAACCAGGCCAAACTGGGATATGTTTTGTTGTGGTGGTCAAGTTCATTCAATCAAAGTACCTTGAGAGTTGGTCCAGTAGGTTTTCTTTCTCTTTTTCTTCAAATCCTTGTTGTCTGCAGCAGAAATTCATAATATTATTAATTCTTAAAATGCTTGAATAGACAGAAATGCTCTTAATTAGTTCAAAACCATGGCATTCTAGCATGACATTTAAATGTGTAGGATAAGAATTACATGTGCACTGCATGCCTGCATATTAATCTCATAATGACTCTACAGCTGTTGAAAACAACAGGTGTAAAGTCATTATGGGGTTAATATGCAGAATATATAAATATTATGGTCATTATTTATACCTAGATTACATCTGATTGATCAACTGATGTACTTAGTAGTTAGCAATGTTCAAGCTTGTTTTTGTCTTATGATTTCCAGATTAGAACAATTTGAAAGCAACAGGGTATTATATGTTTGAAACACAATGGTTTAATTCTAATGGGGTTTAAAAGCAATTACTCTCTTTGGCTATAACGCCCGGTGTTCCTAGACCCATATGGCTAGTATAACAGACTAGGAGATTCTGAGATTATAGTCTAAAAAACTTTTCTCAGTGCCAATGACTCAGTTCATAAAATGATTCAAACTCTGAGCCAACAACCTATCCCATCTTGCAGTAAATTTTGGTTACCATCCAAATATGAACAAAGCAGCCCTCCGGATCAGTTCTAACATATCTTTTGCCCAGAATTATTAAGGCAACATTGATCCTTCTTTCTTGGCTCAGGTTTAAGTTCTAAGCAGGCACATTTATCTAAAAGAATATTTCTTAAAATATGTTCATCCCAGTAGATACTATGGGAACATGGGATGGCATCCAAATAAAATAAATTCAAGTGGTTGGAAATTACAGTTGGTTCTTTGTATCCATGGATTATGTATCCACAGTGTCAATCACCCAAGGCTAAAAAATATTCCCCTCTCAAAAAATTCAAAATGCAAACCTTGATTTTGCCACTTTATATAAGTACACAATTGCATTGTCCATAATATATCATGGGACTTGAACATCCATAGATTTTTGATATCCATCTGGATGGGGTGTCTTGTACCCAAGCCCAATGGATACCAAGGGTAAAGTCAAAGTTTCCAAGTCAAAGTCCTAATAGTAGCTTATTTCATTAATTGTTTGTAGTGGGCATGATCCTGCTTCTGCCAGATGTCAATGCAAAGGCCAGGTATAAAGGTTCTGAGTATCCCTGTCCACAACTAGAGCTGGGCCGATAGCATTCAAAGGCACAGTGATGTTATGCTGTGTCTGTTCTAGAATTGCAAGGCAAGGACTCATTCCCCTCTAACATCCAGACATTTAGCACTGGCACCCCACCCCATGTGTATAGTTTTCTCTTATATAGAGGATATGTAAATTCCATAGAGCCAAACCCAGAGGTCTAACCATTGGGTTATTCAAAATGAGTCCTTTCCAAGTAATCTGCTAATGAAAACAGAGTTGAGAGAAGTTTTTATTTAAAAGGCTGTAAGAAATTCGGTAAACCCAGCCAACAAGCCCAGTCAAAAGGACAGTCTCTCTCAAGAGCAATGCAACACTGACATGTTAGTTGCTTGGCTTGCATATTACATGTAAAAGCAGGACTGAAGACACCTCTTTCTCCCCCAACTTCTGTCCATCAGATGGCGGAACCATACTGTATGGTGATAATGACAATGCAAAATGCCAAGGAAGTGAAACAACAACAGATATGATTGTGAAACAACAATGGATGGTGGGGTATTTGAAGACCAAATACTGACCTGTGAGACAGCAAAGTATCAAATTGCTTTGCTTGCATCAGAAATGGTGAATGGTACAAAGTTGTGAAGGACAAGAAATCAAGGTTAAAAATGAATGAATGAATGGAAGAAATGGTACCTACCAGCCATGTCCATTTATTTCAGGATTTTCAAATTGTATGTCCATTTTACATCAACGCTTTTTAATCAGATATTATTCTGGCAAATCATGGAGAATTTATCTAAGAGTCCCTAATCATAAAATCACTAATAATGGAAAAATTATCTCAGAATACAGCTTTCCTGTCAGTGGAGCATAAATCTACAAGTATAAAAAGAGTTCTTGTAGTATAATATCCCAGTTCCTCCTGGGATTTAGTGATATCTGGAAGGGCTCTCAGTTAGTCTTTGAGCCATTACAAGTTTCCTTTGTATACTGATATTCCGGACTGACAAGGATTTGAAGTCTATCCTTCTGAAAAGCATATTTACAAGGGAATACTTGTTGTGATCTAGCAACCTCATCATATGGGGTAGTTTTGGGCGGCATGCACCTGTTCCTTGACAGGGCCCACTGGCTCCCATCCCACAATGTAAAATTACTTCTAGTGGGGCCCGATTGAAAAACTATCATGGAACTGGCATATACCACCGGTGCAACATGGGAGGCTTCCCATGTTGAATAGAAGTCAATGAAGGGAAGCCGGGTGGTAGATGCTCCCCTCCGTGGGATGAGGTAGGGGGGAAGCCAGGTGATCCAGGGCGTGGGGTGACAGGTTCCTCATGCCGGGCACTGCTATGATGTATGGCAATTCCAGCGGCAAGTCTGATGAGTCATGCTGTGAGATCACAGAGGGTGAGGTCAAGTAGTAGGGAGGATTTCCAAATTGGAGATGGTGGAATGGTTACCTATTAAGTCCTTTGTCAGCCTAGATATTGTCAAAGATGTGACCACTGACTCCAACATCAGTTCCCCCCCCCCTTACACACTCTGTCCAAATAATAGGCTGCCTCTGACCAAAAAACAAAAACAAAAAACAAGCATATGTTGAAACACATTTTACAATACGGAAGCACCATTTCAGGAGCATTCCTACAGTCTGAACTTAAATCAGTGAATTTGAATGTTTCCAGAGAGACACCAGAGATTAGAAGTCCAAGAGTCCTTGTCAAAGTATATGGATGTCTTCGTAGATGAAAACCTCAGCAGACAAAACAATGCATGTAAGATTCACTGAAAGTAGGAAGTTTGGAAGCACTGCTCTATTATACTATGGGTGGGTTAATGGTAAAGCAATCTTTGCATCTACAACTTGTGCAAAAAACTTGGAGGAGGGAAAGCTAGCTGTATTTAATTTCCCTCTCTTCCACATGGGTAATCATGCTTTACATATCTAGCTGCAAAAGCTAAAGAGTTGCAATTATTCCCCCAAGAGGAATGGGGCAAAGTCTATTCACGGATATAAAATGTCCATAGTTTAAAACCCTGGAACTGAATAAGTGACACTGAACTCTATTAAGATCTTACAGAGCTGCTATCAGATAAACAATATGCCAAATACTATTGGGCTAGATGGGCAAATTTTTGGGTGAAGTGTAAAAAACCTTTATTTGGGGAGCAGGGTGGAAAGGCCATAGCTTGGTATTAAGGTATAAGTCTCTATAGGCAAAAGAACCCAGATTCAGTCCCTTTCTATGTCTAGACAGGGCAAAGGGGGGAAAGAACTAATGTGAAATTGAGCACTTCTGTTAAGAGGCAAATTGAGATTTGTGGACTTGTATCAGTTGACAAACCATTGTTTGCTGGTCTGTGGCAATTTTCAATGGAACAAAAGAAAAATAAATGAATGTAATACCATTCCGTGTCATGTTGGGAGGTGAAACACTCCCAGTTTCTCACATCAAGCCTAGGAGCACTTCCAGACAGCACCTAAATCCACGTTTTATAACCGAGTCAAAAAAAATTGGGATCTGATAACAGGTCCACACACAAACCTGTCAGTCCTGGGAAATGGTCCCCCATCATCCTCACATCTTTTTTGAAGCCGATTAAGATGGAGGGCGGATGGGGGACATCAGGTGGAAGTTTTTTTTTTAAAAAATCCCTCTGTTATGCAATGGACCGTATATGCTCAGATGTGAATATCTTAATATAAACACAAGCAGATTTATTTACATGTGTGCATATGAAGTCCAGCACATAACTGAGGGATTAAAAAAAAAACTTCCATCGGATCTCTCTCTTCCCTCAGTTTTTAAGTCAACCTCTGTTTAAGATTATAATGTTTAAAATAGAGAGTTCTATTTGCTCTCCATTTGTGCTTCCCTTGAACCATTTATGTGTCCGTTTGATAACTGAATCAGCTGTTTTGGGTTTTTTAAAAGCACATGTGCACTGGAGTAGTCTACAAGGGGGGAGGGAAGGAAAGCATGTGTTTTGTATGACTGCAATGATATGCTGTCATGCAAATGAGTGCATTTTTTAGGTGGAACTGGATTTTAAGTGCACATTTTTAACATGTGCTTTTTAGCTTTTAACCTGATTCCTCCTGCACTTTGGCTAAATGTCATTGAGTCACCCCACCTGTTAACCCAATTACTTCCAGGTTTTACAGCATGTGTAGAAGGGCTGAAAGAAACACTGATACAGACTGCACTTCTCTATCACTGCTTCTTAAACTGTAGGTTCAATCCTAAATGGGATCCCCGTAGCTCGAAGTTGGGGTTCCAAAAAACTTTTCTGTGTAGCAAAACATTCCAGTGAACAGATTTCACAGTCTTTCTTCAACTGATATGTCTTGGAGAAAAGAAAACTTGTGATCTTTACCTAGCAGTTATATATCAGGGTGATGGAAAATGGGAGAATGATGTTTCAACTGATGATTTTAGAGGTGTCTCTGTGATATACAGAACATTTGCTAGAACTGTAATCTACAGAATAGACAAGATGTGAATGAGAAGGGATGGCTGGAGGTGTTGATGAACTGAAGAATGGATGAATTAATGGTTATATGGATGTATAGTTAAATAAATGAATGGACATTTATTTACTACTACTGTTTCACCATGGCTTTATATCATAGGCAGGGAATATGTAGCCATCCAAATGTGGTTGGAAAGAAATTCCCACCCAGTACTACTCAAGATAGTTAATGGTGAGGGATGGTGAGAGTTGAAGATCCACAATGTCTGGAAGGCGACATATTCCCCATCCCAGGTTGATAGAATATTGGGTATTCCCAAGTGAAAATTTCAGTTTTTTAATCCATGGGTGAAATTTATAATGGTTGGGGCGTCTCTTTTGCTTACCCGCTCCTTTTAGTGTTCATTAACCACTGTACAAAATCTTGAGCTCGTCTTGTGTCCAAGTACTTGCTGTAATCGCTGGTGAATGTACCTTGTGAGTGCCGTTTCACTTCGTTCAGCTGTCTAGAGTCCTCTAATGGTTCAGCCTGGGAAACTTTGAATGATCTATAAGTGTGGTTGTAACACATTAATTGCACTGAAGATTGCACATTTATAAGGTGCCGTACCAGTTCTCGGTCTCCTTGCATGATATATTTATTTTATCCCTTTTAAAGCTGCTGTTAGAGAAAGATCATTAGTTGCCCAATAAATGCTTGGTAATAGCAAACAATACATCTTGTTAAGAGAACAGTAACAACAAGCCAAATCCTTCTGATTGAATGAACAACATCATGCACTGCTGACTTATCCAATGGCCAATGGATGGGGAGAAAAAAAAAATCAATGTTAGTATTTTAAAGGGAATTCTATCCAGCTTGCCTTCTATATATATACACATGCACACACACACACACACACACACAGTCCACTCTTAAAAGCATACCAGTTTGGTCTCAGGAGTATTACCTGGATTTCTCTTCTGTTTCTTGAAGGGGGCTTTGCCAGCTGCTTTGAACAATCATCAAAACCAACCCAGCCACAAAGTACATGCTTTTCATGTTTGTCACCTGTGGGAATTGGGGTGGAGGAGAAGAAACAACAGTCATTTCAACAGACTTTGACTTCACTTTGATACTAAGAGACTGAATTGGGACATGATCCAAATTCAGTTATGGCTGACTCAAATCTTTTGCATCAAGGTGGAAGAAGCTCCACAACCTGTTCCATATGGTATATGAATTAATTTAGAATCATAACTTGAAAGAGAAACTAAGTGCCATTGAGTCCAACCCCATTGTGCCATAGAAGATTATGCAGTCAAAGCACTCCTGACAGCTAGCCATCCAACCTCTGTTCAAAAACCTTCAGAGAAGGAGACACCACCATGCTCTGAGGCAGCGTAGTCCACTGCTGAAGAGCTCCTGCTGTCAATATTTTTTTCACAATGTTTAGGTGAAATCTTTTTTCCAGTAACACAGCAAGTTGTGTAGGAAGCTACACCAAAATTCCTGGCAGCTGTCTTGAGCTGAGTTTTCATCTTCACCTGGAGCTATTATTTTCTAGGGGCCGCAATGGTGCAGCAGGTTAAACTGTTAAACTGCAGAACTTGCTGACCGGAAGGTCAGTGGTTCAAATCCACAGGAGGGGGTGAGTTCCTGTTGCCAGCCCCAGCTTCTGCCAACCTATCAGTTTGAAAACATGCAAATGTGAGTAGATCAATAGTTCCTGCTTCAGCAGGAAAGTAACGGTGCTCCATACAGTCATGCCAGCCACATGACCTTGGAGGTGTCTATGGACAACGCCGGTTCTTTGGCTTAGAAATGGAGATGAGCCCCCCCCCCCCCCCCCCCGAGTCAGACTCAACTAGACTTAATGTCAAGGGGAAACCTTTACCTTTACTTATGGGTCTTTATTGACTGTTTCAAATCAAACCACTCCCAAATAAATCTCAAATTTCCTTGAGAAAAATTATTTCTTGCCCCTTTCCTGCCTAAGTATGATGGGGATTGCATCCAAGTTCACATGCACAGACAAGACTGAGGAATGTGACCTGCTTCCTGATTGTGCCCTCTGATCAAAGTTTCTTTTTTATCCTATTGGCTTTACAGTACACCTACAAATCCAGCATGGTATATTCTGAAGTGACTCTCTAGGGCTACTCTCCAACATTTGGGACACATGGGACCAAGCAACAGAAGAACATGGTCAAGATGGCAAAAATTATTAATAAGCTTTGAAGGTTTGCAGCCAGAACCGTCCGGGAAAGTCAAGCCCCTTCTTCTGCTGAGTCAATTGAGTGCAAATTACTTTGCTCTTTCAACTCAATTTGCAGCAATTGAAGTAAGCTGGGGGAAAAGGGAGAATAAAATAGGAAAAATTGGCAAAAGCAGTCATTCTATCATGACTAGATTAAGCTTGTCCATTGCGGTAGACTTTAGTTGTGACTAATGCTTGCTAGACTGTGCCAAATAATATGTTTCGCAACTTCTTTTGTAAAAATAGGAAAGCTTAACTTTCACCAACATTTGTATTTGTCTCTTTCTTAGTCATCTGCCAACATTGTTCTATTTTCTCATGAACAATTGATTTTTATTCCCTTGCAGGTTTCATCTATTCATTCAGCAGTGCTATGCTGCCCTCTAGCGTTACTTCCAAAGATAGCAACGTTCCCCTCTTACACAGGCCCCTTCTATCCACACTGCCATATTATAAAATTCAGATTATCCAATTTGAACTGGATTATATGGCAGTGTGGACTCATATAATCCAGTTTAAAGCAAATAATGTTTAAAAACCAATGAATGGCAGCCATAACTTAATATATATGTCTTTCCCGGTTTCCCTTCTAAGGACTTCATGCTTACTTGTTTACTTTTATTTTAATGCTACACTTTTGTCTATCTCCTTGGATGATTTTAGAAAATGGTGCAAACAGACTGTTTCTCACTACCACTAAACACATACACAATGTCAGCTCAATTTAGTGCCCCGTAGCAATGAGATAACTAATTAAACCATCTCATTTATTTATTATACAGGTGTATATACCAGGTGTTGCTCAGGTGTCATTGGGACTGCTACCCACCTTCTGTCTCTCTTCTCCATCTGAGAGAGTCTACCTCACTATCACAACATGGCTCTCTTTGTGTCCCTGTCCTTCCTTTCATTCCCCTAATACACATTTTACCTTTCTTTCCCAGTGTCATCGCAGAGGGCCAATTCCCCTAGAAACAGCCTTTGTGGTACAAATGGACATTCATACAGACTTTGACTTATAGATAGACAAGCCTTCCCCTGCCATGCGTTGCTGTGGTCCAGTCTGTGTATATGTGTTTTGTGTATATGTGTATATATGTGGTTTTGCACATGCGTTGTAATGTATGTTTTTTTCTTTTTAAGTCTATTCCATTGTGTTTTTCAGTTTTTTTATTATTGATGGTCACTCATTGGCCTGATACGTGTATTGTGTCCAAATTTGGTGTCAATTTGTCCAGTAGTTTTTGAGTTATGTTAATCCCACAAACAAACATTACATTTTTATTTATTTATTTATTTGTTTGTTTGTTTATATAGATAGATAGATAGATGGATGGATGGATGGATGGATGGATGGATGGATGGATGGATGGATGGATGGATGGATAGAAGGATAGAAGGATAGATAGACAGATGGACGGATAGATAGATAGATGATAGATAGACAGACAGACAGACAGATGGAATGAAAGATAGGATAGACAGACATAGACAGACAGATAGATGGATAGATAGAAGGATTGATGGATGGATGGATAGATAGATAGATAGATAGATAGATAGATAGATAGATAGATGATAGAGTAGTATTAATCTTAAAACTTTCTGCCAATGGAATGGTCTCTGTGTGCAGAATGAGGAAGGGATAGCTTTGCCAAGGTTTAGAAGGAAGGGCGAGATTCTGCCCTCTCTCCTCTGCTGAGTTAATTGAGTGTAAACCACTTTGGCACTTTGTATTCATTTTGCAACAACTGAAGTAAGCTGAGGACAGTAGATGGAAAGTGGGAGGCAGAAAGCAAAATTGGGATATTTTAAATTAGCTGAAAAATATGGCTTAATTGGGAACATCCCTGCCAAATCATGACAGTTGGAGGATATGTATTTCAACCTGACCTGGAAGGTTAGAATACCCACCCAAGTAGATTTTTGAAGGTGCAGGAAGGAGGAGAGGAAGCAAAAGTCTTTTGTAGTGACTTTTGCTCACGGATTAGACTCAAGCCCTATCTACACCATCCTGTAATGCAGTTTGAAATGGCTAATGCTGTTTGAAATGGCACTACACAGTCAGTGTAGACTCATATAATGCTGTTCAACTTGAACGGCATTATATGAGTCTATACCAACCACCTGTTCACAGTAGCATCTTTCTGTTTCTAAAGCTTTCCGATCCAGGTAGGCTGGAGTTGCACATTTTCACATTTACTGCAGTCTAATGCACCATTGAATCTAATGCGCACCTCAATTTTCAAAACCCTGAAACTAAAAAAGTATTTGTTGCCGAGTGTAACGTGCAGCGGCAACATGTGTCCTCTTTCGCGTTTGGGCTCGAACGGTCCTTCAGCATCAAAGCTTCCAGCAACAGAAAGAAAGACCTTGGGTTACATCTATTTTGTAGAATGAATCCATTATAATTGCCTTGGTTCGATGCTATGGAATCATGAGGGCTGTAGTTTGACAAGGTCTTGAGCCTTCTCTGCCAAAGAATACTGATGCCTCACCAAACTACAAATCCCAAGTCCCATAGCATTGAGCCATGGGCATTTAATTAGCGATGGTGTTCCCTCGAATAGGAGCTCTATGTGCAGCTCCAGAAGTAGCTTCCCCTTTTGCTTTGGATCTGCACTAAGATTTCCGAATGACCCTAATCTAATGTGCACCCTAATTTTGGCAAGGTAATTTAGCCAAAAAAAGGGGAGCACTAGTTTCACGTAAATAGGATTAGCCTTCACAATTGTCCTGCTTTCTTTACTTTCATAACAATTTTACCCACGTTGTTGCTACCGTCATTGACATAGAGTCCATCTCCCCTGCAGAATAAATGCCATTTGACACCACTTTCACTGCCACAGATCTATGCTATGAAATCATGGGCATTATAGCTTTACAATGTCTTTAGACTTCTCTGTCAAAGAGTGCCGAGGCCTTACCAAACTGCAACTCGCAGGACTTCATAGCACTGCGCCATGGCAGTTAAAGTGGTGTCAAACGGCATTAACTCTATAGTATAAATGCACCCTTTGATTTATGGTAACAGCATTAATGAGAGATCTCTAAGTCCCCTATTCTCAGCAGCCCGAGTCTTACAGCCTCAAACTGGTCTAAACTGCTATATAATCCAGTTTCTGAATCCAAATTATCTGCTTTGGAATGGATCATATGACTCTACACTGCCATATAATCCAGTTCAAAGCAGATAATTTGGATTCAGAAACTGGATTATATGGAGGGCTCAGAGTTGTGGTTTTCTTGATTGAATCTATCCATTTGTTACAGGGTCTTCCTCTTTTCCTACTGCCTTACACCTTCCCAAGCATTCTTGTCTTTTCTATTGACTCATGTCTTCTCGTGCTATGGACAGTTTAGTCACCTAGGGACTTCTAGGGACAGTTTAGATATGATTTGCTCTAGGATCCATGTATCTATGTGTCTATCATTTATTTTATTATATACTCTTCAAAATGACTGTAAAGAAACTAAAACTGACATCCTAAACACATTTATAGCAGGGCTTACATCTGAATGATTATTATATCAGTAGCATATACTAATAAAAAGACTAGTATATTAGTTTGCATACTGGAATCTAGGAAAATGTGCTGATATGCATTTGATACATATAATGATATCTAGAATTAAGCAACCACTGGAAACTACTGTGGCAAAAAAAACCCTTTAAAAGATCCTAGTCTAGATCCTATACTTTTCCAGATGTGTTTGATTATTCAACAGTAGTTTATCTGCTTTGAACTGGATTATATGAGTCTACACTGCCAGATAATCTGGGATAAGAAGATAATGTGGGTTCAGATCCAGGGATATAGGGCTCTGTAGATCTAGCTGCAATTCATCTGCATTCTGAAGCTGGATTATTTGGCAGTATAGATCCAGTCTTAGTCTCAAAGGTGCTACAATATCCCTTTACTTCTGAGGATGCATTACTACAATTGCCTTGCATCTAGATAAAAGTGCATTTCTGAACAGGTGCTGTTTTCTGTAACAGTCATATCAGGTAGAATAAGATTGTGAATTCAAGGGAAAAATTCCAAGCTCTGTTGTCCTGCATCTAATGCTGTCAAATTACCAATATAACACGAACAAAGAATATGTGTTCATAATTTCCTGACTTCATTATTATATTTTATTTATCTGAAATATAGAATGAAAATAACCAACACTCTAAAGGCGAAATTGCAAAGGATATTGTCTTGAATATAAGACAATTGTTAGGAGCAAATGGTCGGAGCAAGAATTGCAAACCAAGATCTGTCTATAATGCAGCACACCTTGAAGACACATAGCACTCTTGCTAAAAGCAAGATGAGCTTGGTCAGGACTTGGATGGGAAACTGCCTTGTATGCCATGTTGAGTGGAATTTAAATTCACTGCCTGACTGGTTTTAGCTACCTGAACAATGTAACCCAGATGTTGGTTTGACTTTGATCAGGTAGACAAATACTTAAGCATCCACAAGCCCAGGTGTACTGCTGGGGATGCAGCATGTATTCAAAATAATAAATAAAGTACTGAAATATGGATATGATTTCAGTTTTGTTTAATACTTCCATCAGTTATAGGCTTTGCATGCAATTCAACTGTGTTCATCGGTTACATGCTTCACACACATTTCCCCCCTGACATTTAATTCTGTTGTGTGCCTTCATTTCCAACTTATAGCAACTCTATTACAGGGGTTTCTTGACATGATTTGTTTCCAGTGTGTGTGTGTGTGTGTGTGTGTGTGTTACTTTTGGTTTACTCTGAGGCTAAGAGAATGTGACTTGTTGAAGGTCACCCAGTGGTTTTCATGGCTGAGGGGGGAACTCAAGCCCTGATCTCCCAGTGTCTTAGTCCAATGCCCAAACCGCTGCACCACACACTCTCTTTTAAAATTACATAAATTGGATATCTGTATCCAAGCACTTATTTCCCAATTAAATTCAAGATCAGTTTTTCCTCAATCTATGGTCCTCCATATTTTGTTGAACTTCGGCTTCCAAATGTCTGAGCCAGCAATGTCATATGATCAGGAAATTTTGGTGTTGAGATCCCATACCAAAGCTTGACAACCATTTTTCTAGAATACAGAATAGAATACATGTGCAGATCTTCCCCTACAACTTTTACTAACTGCAGAAGTAAAAAAGGAGCAGCCTTATCTATGCCAGTATGGTTGCCTTTCTATGAATAATCTCATTTCCAACTGCAAAAAAGGGTTGTTTGTTTGTTTGTTTGTTTGTTTTGTTCAGAACCAGTATCGGGAAACCAGAATGCTCCCTTTCCACTGATGCCACATATCTTATCCAAATCAGTGGCTACATTTGGAAAATGGGATGAAAATCCAATGCATCAGAGAATCGAGCCACAGCTCTCCTGCACTGGCCAGCCACCAACATCTGGTCAATAACTATCTGTCAAAATAGATTTGCATGGGTTGTCTGTAATAAACTGCTAATGGTTCCGGGGCTAAGTATCCCAGGACAATTCAAGAAAAATAAAGATACATATACAGATATTTCTTTTAAAGCCTAATTAATAACTATGAACAGCGCTGTATAGCCACATTTATTTATTTATTTATTTATTTATTTATTTATTTAAGACATTTATATGCTGCCCTTCTCAGCCCAAAGGTTTATATATCCAAAGAGAGGCAGGATGTAAGTATTATTTTTGTCCACTTATGAGCATAGGAGTCTGCTTTATACTCATTCCATCTGGACCAATACAGAGCTTGTAAATGTGTTACCCACTCCCAAAATTGTCCAAATCATGCTAGTTGAAGGATTTTAGAAGGTATTGCCCATCTAATATCCCATCCAGGCTCCAAATCAGTATTGGTTTTTGTGCCAGATAAAGGCATTCCCAATTTTCAGACCCCTATTTGGAGGTCCAGGGTGTTTCAACCAGAGATCTTTTGCATTTCCGTTAATGTGCCAACTTGAGAATAAACACGACTGAATTAAATGGGAATTCATTATAAATAAACAAGTGTGCAATTAAATGATGTAGAGATCTCATCATGGAAGTTAATGGCACTCAAAAGGATTTGACTTTGGCTAGACTGTTTCCTATTTTTGATTTGGATTGTATTAATAGTATTGTTGAAACTTTTTAAAAAAAGATACAGTTGTGTATTGAGGGTAAACCACTTTATTTGTTAAAGAAAGTATTTTCTTTTTAAAAAGCTATTCACATTGCATTGCTACTTTTCTCATTTTCATATTATTATTTTTTGTTCTATTTGATGCTTTACATGTATTGCAGCTTTCTGCAACATGGAAACCAATTTCCACTGTGCTTAATTGAAATAGATTTTAAACCATTTTGCATCATGATTCTCAAGACAATGCTTATTATAAGGGTGCACATATGTTTCTATCTGCCTGCGTGCCTGTCTTTCTATTTATGTAGACACAAAATATTCCAGGGCGGTAATACTATAGCCATTTACTAGGACGTGAAGTCCTTTGAAGTAAATGCGACTTACCATCCAGAAAACATGCATAAAGTACACTATAAAGTAACCTGCGGAGGCAGCCAAAGTTTCCCAGAACTACATCAAACAACAATGTTGCCATAGGTCAAAACAGCAGATTGACTCTTACCTTTGGACACTTGGAGAGGATGTGGAGAAGCAGGGATAGGAGGTCTTCCTAATTCTGTAGGACCTCTGGAAGTCTTGAGAATCTTCGAGTGACTGCCTAGTTGTCTCGCATAGCCTTATATATACTGTTCAGCTCCAGTAAGCACTTATGAGACTGCATCATTGCTGACAGTTGACTTACTCAGTTGGGGGGAAAATACACACACACACACACGCACACACATTCGCAAAACAAACATATTGTCTTGTTTGCAATTCTTTGCATTTGACCATTTTTTCTACAAGTGACTTCACCCGTTTACTCTGTCTACTCTCTTGACATCAGTGTTGACATAGGCCATAACAGCGGTATTAAGGGAATAAGGTGTCATTGTCAAAAGACGCATCTGTCATAATGATATGAGTTGCCCATTTCAGGAATCAACTATCTACGACAGCGGTTCTCAAACTTTTTGAGTCATGAAACCCTTCAGAAGACTTTCCCTCCACAGAACCCTAAATCTGTCTCTAATCACTGTGAACTCACAAAGTTCTTCATTCTTTCGTCTACTTCTATTACCTGGGTGTTTTGTATAATGTAAATCTGGAAAGAAAGAGATTCAATATTTGTTTAAAAATTAAATATATATATATATTTAAAATATTTTTTGCAGAACCCTTATGATGCTTTCATGCTTTCATGGAACCCTAGGGTTCCACAGAACAGAGTTTGGGGACTGCAGGTTTAGAGGGCAAATATAGTGCTCTATCACTCTTTCTATCTTTAATGTATATGAGTTTTAAAATCTATATTTTATGTAACTGCATGTGTAAAATATCACACACATTCTAAGGCTATGTTTTGAATCTCATTAATTTGAATAAGAGATAATTAAGGCTGTGTTGAATTCTCCAGTGGGATATAGAAATGTTGGATCTCGGCTGGATCCAACATAAACATAAATGGGATTTGTAGCCAGACATTACTAAATTAATTTGTCCATCCACTTCATCATATGGAGAAAGGGAAGCGTCCTAAGACACTTCCTTGCCAGAACTGGCCAGATACCATCACATCCTGTCTTCTCATTCAGAAGAATGGGCGGAAGCTGGGCATCAATTCTTTTCCCCCATGTGATAGGGAAAGTGGTGCAGCAAGTGATATGGGGTGCGGGGCAATGGTTTCCCCCCACTACCCACAGGATTCGCCACACTGTGTGGTGAAACCCTTTGCTGCTGCCTGGCTTTTTTTTTTTAAAAAAAAAATATTTTTTTAATTAAAGGTTTATATTACATGTTTATCTAAAAAGCGGAGCTATAGGAAATAGGGGATGGGAAAGTCTAGGTTAGGGTTACCAGGATAAGATAAATAAAGAGCGCGGGGGTGGGGGTATTCAAGAAAGGAAGGAAAAAGAAAAGAGAAAGGGATAAATGGGGAAATAGAGGTGTAGGGCTGAAAGTTTGTAGGCTTCCAGTGTTCCCCATCCGGTGAAAGTAGCTAGTCCATTTAGATCTTCTTTTACTTGCTTCCTCCATTCGTTCTTTTCAGTTTCAAAGCAATCATTGTTTATGTCCAGGTCAAGTTTTTCTATAACGATTTTCTTCTTTTCTTGGTTCATGTAGTCTTTAAAAGGTTGCCAGTCCATTCTTATTTTGGGTTTTCCATGGTCCTCTTTCAAGGGTTGTGTGAGAGTATCCATATTCATAATGTCCATTATCTTTATCAACCAATCATCTATTGAAGGTATTTATTTAAGCCTCCATTTTCTTGCATACACTATCATAGTTGCTAAATAGTTGAGGAGAATGTCCTTGTTAGCTGCTGTCTGGCTTATTGATCTCAATGTGATGAGGTCCCATAACTCTAATTTTTGAAAGCCCATAGAATAGCAGTCTAAAGGAATTGTGTGTGTGTGTGTGTGTGTCAGTGTCAGTGTCAGGAGCAACTTGAGAAACTGCAAGTTGCTTCGGGTGTGAAAGAATTGGCCATCTGCATGGATGTTTGCCAAGGGGATGCCAGGATGTTTTGATGTTTTACCATCCTTGTGGGAGGCTTCTCTCATGTCCCCGCATGGGAAGCTGGGGCTGACAGAGGGAGCTCATTCATGCTGTCCCTAGATTCGAACCTGCGACCTGTCGGTCTTCAGTCCTGCTGGCACAAGGGTTTAACCCACTGCGCCACTGGGGGCTCCATTTATAAATTGAGAATCGCTTTCACTGTAAGACTTTTCACACCTGAGATCTACAACAAGGGACTTGGTATAATTTGCCACCATATTTGACACATCCTTAAAAAGAGGCAAAAAGCTCACTATTTTGATGCAATCCTGGGAACCATTCTGAGTCCCTCGGGGAGATGGAGCGGTATATAAATAAAGTTTTATTATTATTATTTATTAGGTCATGGTTAAGTCCAGCTAATTGAGGATTAATTCCTGGTATTATTTTTTTTGTATTAAGATTGCAATGAACACACATAGGTAAGGTTTTTTTTCTGTTGCTTAAATTGGTCTTTTGAATAGATGTGTATAGGAGAACTCTGTCTTCCAACATAGGGTCACTTTAGACCAATCTAGATCAGAGCAGTCCAGAGATATGGAACTGTCCCTGTCAAGCAGGGCTTGGCTAAATGTGACCTTTCAAACGTTGGTGGATATTCCTCATTGTTCCCTGAGTCAGCAACAGATGCTTGGACTTGCATTTCAGCACGTGGAAGACCACAATTTGCCCATCCTTGCTGTAAAAGGGCAGCATGAATTTTGAGCCAGATTCATGTTGTGTGCATCCAGGTGTTAGGATGGTAAATAAGTGTAGGAGTGATGACATCTGATCTGGACTTTTACTGAGATAACTTTGCTTACCTACACACCACCTGCTTTTATTCCACACTATGCTTCACTGCTCATCCATTTGATGGCAAATATGTTAAAACAGCAACTTGGGATGCTAATAACGGGATGGGGAGATAGAAAACACAAGTGACATGCACTTCCTGTTCTTTACGCACATGTGTAAGGCCTAATGTTTAATGGTCGCATCTCTCCATATGATCATAAGACAAACTGTCCATGGTTTGGGTGGTGTCATATCTGTCTGCAAAAGCAGATATGAACATTGCATCTAAGACTAGATCTTTCGTATCTGTAAAGTCGCTGCTTAGACATTGCCAAAAAGAGACCATGGATTAGTAGCATATACACATAAGTGTGGAAATTAGAAATAATTAATATCATCCAAATGTAGGGGAGACTAACCTCTGGCTCTTGGATTTTACTTATTGCCAGATTGCCAGATTGCTGCTGGGAGTGTTGTCATGGGTCATAAAAAGAAGTAGAAGGGAAAGGTTACTCATCCCTAAGTTACATAGAAATATATCTTGCCACCGAAGAGAAAACGGTTGGAATGTGAGCTGTATGTCTTCCTGCTCAATGGGTAGCTCAGGTTCATTGCTCTCTCTCTCTTATCTTGATTGAACTTGGATGATCCTTCAGTCATAAGGTGTACTCTTCAGAGATCATATCTTTCAGAACAGAGAAATATCCAATCAACTCCACCTTACCTCAGTTCAACTTGAATCTTTTCTCTTTCATTCACTTGATCACACAGCTTGGCTCAGGACAGGCGTATCTGCTTGTTTTTGCTGCTCCAGAGACTAAAATTACAGAGATTGAAATTCCAGGAAAAGAGATTGCACTTACACATTATCAATAACCTCTTTAATGTAAGAACTATTTGACAGTGCAATGGGTGCCTTGGGGTGGGGTGCACTCTCCTTTTTGGAGGTCTTTAAGCAAATAGACATTTTTCAGGAATGTTGTAATTGTGTAGTCAAATTGTGGAAGTCAAGATCCAAAAGTATGTTCTTTTTTTCGTGTCAGGAGCGACTTGAGACACTGCACATTGCTTCTGGTGTAAGAGAATTGTCCATCTGCAAGGACATTGGCCAGAGGACGCCTGGATGTTTTGATGTTTTACCATCCTTGTGGGAGGCTTTTCTCATGTCCCTACACGGGGAGCTGGAGCTGACAGAGGGAGCTCACCCATGCTCTCCCCAGATTCGAACTTGTGACCTGCCAGCACAAGGGTTTAACCCACTGTGCCACTGGGGGCTTTGACTAGCCCGCAAACTTCCACATTCATAAGCATTACAAGTGCTTCTAAAGACAAGCCAATTACTTTGATCTTTCTGAGAACCAAAGCATATCACTCTGAAATAAACTTATCTGATAACAGAGAGGAAATGTAGCTGTCAGAACTGACTAGAAAATGTATATGCAGCCAAAATTTTATGGCTCTCATCCATGCCAAAGTTTCAAGCAGTTTGGCCCATTTCAATGCACAGCACATTAGTTTCTGGAGAGTCTTGGAATCTAATGGATTAAATGATTTATTTATTGCTGAATTCCAAATAGAGAAACCATACAATAACAGGGAAAACATCAATGTAATGTTTGCTGCATAGCAAAATCAAACTTTACTTTTTTCTGAATATTTTTGAGCTGTTTTGGTTGGATGAATCTGTGGATAAAAAGATGTGACTGTACAGAGTCATTCTGTCAATATGCAGGCATTGCATATTAAATCTCCTGTTTCGTTATCGAGGCTGTCTTTTATATCTAGGATTTCCATTACTTTCCATTACTTACAAGTGCATCTTTTTTTTCTGCAAACTTTTCTTGTAAGACTTTTGGCAGCAAAGATGTGGTTCTTTCAGTTAGACAGCAGGTGGCATACTACATGTAGTCTCTCTCTTCCACATAGTTGTTCAGTTTCAGAAAGGGATAATACAGGTCGAATATCATTTATTCTAAATGTTTAGGATGAGACATGTTCTGAATTTTTAAGATTTTGTAATACTTGCATATACATGAGATACCTTGGGGATGGGACTCAAGTCTAAAGACCAAACTCATTGTTTCATATGCACCTTCTACCTCTATGAGTATATTACCCTGGAAGGTTTTTTGTGTGTGTATGTCAGGAGCAACTTGAGAAACAGCAAGTCGCTTCTGGTGTGAGAGAATTGGCCGTCTGCAAGAATGTTGGCCAGAGGATGCCAGGATGTTTGGATGTTTACCATCCTTGTGGGAGGCTTCTCTCGTGTCCTCACATGGGAAGCTGGCGCTGACAGAGG